AAAAATAAAGCTGTGGGGCCAGCTCCATGGCCTGGTGGTTAGGGTAGCTGGATTCCATGTAGCTGAACACATGGTTTGAGTCCTGGACCCAGTGGCTTGAATACACAGGGCACATGTGTGTATGTGCCCAAAATCTCAAAAGAGAGAGAGATGTGGGGGGGAAGGAATTGTGGCATGATCATTCTACATGAGGGAATGATCCCCCTTCTTTGCCCCTTTCTTCTCTCTATCTCTCTGTCCCTCTCTCTCTGGTGAACACATATGTTCTTTAGTAAAACTAGCTAAATAAATAAACGGGGGAAAATCTGTCAGTCATAGATAAGCCATGACAGTAAAATACTAAGGATGATAATGTGCCCATAGCTTCCTATTCTTATCTTTTGGCACCTTTGTGGGACTCAATGTGGCTGTGGAGTTACATAACATTTTTACTGATGATTTTTATATACCCACCCATTTCCAAAGGGATGTGATGTAGAGCACAGTGTAATAGACTATTGTATTTAATAAAGCACTTGTGGGGACCGGCAGATGGCATGGAGATTATGTCGCAGGACTTCCACATGGCTGACCGTGGTTCGAGTCTCAGACCTGGTAGCTTCAAACTCACACCAGGCATGTGTGCATGTGAGCCCAAGATGTCAGGAAGAGAACGGAGGAGACAGGATTGCAGTGTGGCCAAATCCCCGGGGGTTGATTTCTCTCTGTCTCTCCAGCGAGCTCACACACCCTATAGCAAAAATCTCTCTCCCAAAAATAATAATAGAAGAACTTATGTCAGAAAGCCTCAAATGTCATTTATAGTAACATCTACTTCAAATTGTCATAAATACACATGGCACATAGAAAGAAAGCCATCTTGGGAATTGAAACTCAAGTTTTGCTTCTGATTCTTCTCCCATAAAGAGTAATATAAACTTGGGAAAGTCACTAAACTACACAGGGCTTCACTTTGCTTTCCTCATTTTCAGATTCAAGATTTGAAAAATAAATTCTCTGATATTGTTTTTTGCTTTACCATTTATTTATTATTGCCAGAGAGCACGTGCACTCACGTGATAGAGAAAGAGAGAGAGAAAAAGCTCTCCCCAATGGGGCATGGTCACATGGTCTATTCTCCTTTCCATTCAATATTTTAGGCATGCATGGACATGTTCCCAATGTGTTTTTTTTTTTTTTTTTTTTTTTTAGTTTTTTGCTATAGAGTGCGTGCGCTCACTAGATTCTATTCAGGGTTGGATTAGGGGTGGGTCTAGTGCAATTCAGGGTTTGATTAAGGGTGGGTCTAGTGCAGTTCCGCAATTGTAGGTGGGTCTCCATGGAATGCAGTTTCAGGAAAGCGTTCCCGTAAGCAGAGATGATTATCAGCTGATGCGGCGCAGCAGCCATCTTGTGATTACTGGGAATGGTGCTGAGAAAAGAAAATCTCAAGAATAGATATTAGTTCTTATGGATCTTAATAAAGAATGATACTTATACGGTTTTGTAGGGATTTAAAACTTAATTTGAGGAATCCTAATATATTTATCTATTTCACTTGGAGAGGGCAGAGGTGTCCTGGGCCAGTTTTGGCCTAATCCTATTTTACGTAAAGAAAGGATTAAGTTTACCTTAAATGTATTTCGAAGGACCTTCCAAAGGTCAAGATTATTTCTGCCTATAAAGAACTTCAGCCCACCCTCTATTACCATGGAGATAAAGCATTGTAATTAATAGTAAGTGATCAGAGCAAAGGGGAGCGGGTCAGGGTACTTCCTGGAAGATTTTATCGTACACTCAGTATGTATAAGAGAGCTATGTAATTCTTTTACAGTAGTATATTGGGGAGTCAGAGGGGGGTCATTTCCCAGTAAGGCTGCCACAGTTTCTGGAGCAAATAGCAAATAGCCTTGCTGACATGCTAATTGACCCAAGCTTTGTTCCAAGGTCGGGGGCACACAACCATGGCCTTGCCAACGTGTTGATCTGACCGGAAGCAGAGCTCAAAGGTTGGGGTGGGGGGGTTCAGACAGATCCTGGGGCCTCGCCGGGTCGGACTCCTCCAATAAATGTCAGTTTAGAAGCCCCGTTTTAATTACTCATCAATAGAACAAGCTATGTATTCTCAGATTTGTACCACTAGATGGAGCCCTTGGAGAAGTAACATTTTAGAAGATGAAACATGAGGATTCGGATTTGAAATGGAAGATTCCAGTCCTCATCAAAGTCTACCTGGAGTCCACATCTCTCCTGGTAAAGGCACTTTAAGGTGGTTTTGGATAAACAGGGTGCCAAGCTGAGCTCGTAATTTTGCCACCTTCTGCTCTGTTTTTCTTCCTCCCTTATAACTCCTTTGGAGTAGACAGTTTTTGAAATTTTTAAAACTGAAATTCTATTTTTTTTTGGAGGGTGGACATTTTTGCTATAGGGCGCATGAGCTTGCCAAAGAGACAGAGAGAGACAGAAAGCGAGAAATCACTCCCCCGGTGGTGAGGTGGGCATACCTCAATCCCTCCTCTTCCATTCTCTTGGGATTTTGGACACACACGCACAAGCACCTGGCATGTTTTAAGCCACCAGGTCTGGGACTTGATCGTGGTTGATTATGTGAGAGTCCAGCGACATAACCATTGTGCCATCTGCTGGTTTCCAAACCGATATTCTAATAATCTATTTATCCGAATTGTAAGATATGGTTTAATGAACCAGAGTGCAGTGTCTTAGTATTTTTAGGAGATAAAATTTAACTCCTATTTTCCATTACTTGAACCAAAGAAAAGTTTTCTTTTTAAGTGTATTCTCTTAATCAAGCATTTTCCTAGTGTTTATTTAATACTCTTTTTTGGAGTAGTTTTTCATAGGGAATTGATAAAATATTGGGTTGTCAGAAAAGTCATGACAAATTGTAAAATTCATCCTAGTAGATTTTGCCCCGAGAAACTCTGCTCAGACATCCATGATGTCAGATGAACGTAAGTCTTTAGAGAACATTCAGCCCTCTCAGTTTTAATGCTTAAGCTCAAAGGGGTAGTGAATGGAGGAATTGCATCTTGAGTTCATGGAAATAATTTGATTTGATCTTTTGTGTTTATGCAAGAAAGCCAACTTTCAATAAAATGATTTATTTCATGAAAGAGAAAGAAAGAGAAAGACAGGAATCAATGGAACTTCCCTTATATGTACCTGCCAGGAGCAAAAGTAAACCCTCTCTGGACGAAGATGAACTCACTCAGAGCCTCAAATACTTTTTGTATAATTTGGTATACAGTAGCCAGTGTTCAATGCAAGATTATCAAACAAACCAAGAGATAAGACCATCTGACTGAAAGCCAAGAAATAGCTATCAGGTGATGTGAGATCATGTCGTTATCACACATGGACTTTAAGTGTTATTAGTATATTTAGCCAATTAAAAACTGGAGAATTTTTTTTTTTTTTTGAAAAACGTTTGCTATAGGGCATGTGCACTCCCCAGAGAGACAGAGAGACAGAAAGCAAGAAATCAGCACCCCAGAGGGGATGGCCAGGTCACAATTTATCTATTCCATTCTCCTCCTGGGATCCTGGGTATGCATGCATATATGCCCAGAGTAAAATTGGAGAATTTCAATGGAAGATTAGAAATGTTGAAAACAATCAAATATGAATGCTAAACATGAGAAAACATAATAGTTAAAAATAGGAACTAAATAGAGGTCAGCAGGTGCTGTGTTTAGTGCACTAGATTCCCACATGCCCGACTGCAGTTCAAGTCCCGAATCTAGAAGCTAGAAAATCAAGACAGGTGCATAAGAGGACATGCCCAAAATTCTGGGGGAGAATAGGGGAGAAGGGATTGTGGCATGGCATTCCCCCCAGGGCGATTTCTTACTTTTCCTCTCTCTATACATCGCTCTCTCTCTTTCTCTCTCCAGAGAGTCCATGTGCTCTATGACAAAAGCTTAAAGAAAAAGAAAAAGAAAAAAGAAAAACTAAGTATGTAGGAACAGCCCTGTAGTGAAGTGTTAAACATGGTGCAGAGGAAGCAGATCCCACATGGCTGATCCAGGTTTGAATCCCAGCCCTGGCCTCTGACAAACCATGCATGAGTGCATGCTAAGGATTCTGGCAGAATGGAGAGATGTAGAAAAAAGACCTGTGGTGTGACCTGGCCCCACTGGGGGTCTCTCTCTCTCTCGTTCTCTCTCATGCGTGTACCTATATCCTCTGAATTTTTTGGGGGGGAGATTTTTACTACAGGGCATGTGCTCTTGCCATGGAGACAGAGAGAGACAGAGACAAAAAGCAAGAAATCACTCCCCACGGGGACTGGCCACACCACAATCCTTTCTCCTCTCGGGATCTTGGGCACGCACACACATGTACCCAGCCTGGGTGTTAAGCCACCGGGTCTGGGACTCAAACTGCAGTTTACTACATGGGAGTCCAGCGATGTAACCATTATGCCATATGCTGGTGTCACTCTGAAAAATTTTTTAACTCCTTAATTCCCTTCCACTGGAGCCAGTTTGTCTTGATTTTCTCTTTCAAAATGCTGTGAATGCACCATTCCCCTCTACTCACCAAACCCCTCTCTGGACTCTTCACAATCTCCAACTGCCCATTTTCAACATTTTTTGTTAAGGAAAAGGTGTCAAATCTACCTTTTTTTTTTTCTATACACCATATGAGATCTTAAATTAGATATTGTATGTTATCGTGGATCTCTCCCTTATAGACTTTCTCTGGCATTGCTTAGCGATCGATTCCTTTGCCTTTGTTGACAATACACAAAGTTCTTCCTAGATCCTTCCCCAAGATAATTTCCGTGTCATCAAGCAATTACATTTGTTATCTTAATCTTTCCATGTTTGTTATTCTGTCATAGTTTCGGAAGTCATTTTATCATTTGACAATTTTAATGACGTAGAATACAATAAATCTAGAAGACATGTTCTGGTTGGAGCAACCTCATTCGGAAGCTGTTCCTGTCAGTCATGTTTTACTGATCTCTGAGCTATATAAGTGAGGATCCCCAAATTTCTTCATCAGAGAGGGACGACTACTTCTGACTTAAAGATGCTTTTCTTCTTTCTCTTAGCTACCCTGCTGGCTGTGAGCACAGCCCAGAAAAAGGCTCCAGTGGTCCAAGAGACTGGTAAGTCTATTGTGATGACAGGTATGGTAAAGTTTAATGAGTGGGAATGATAGCAACTAGACTGTCTTTCTTCTCTCAATATTTTCCTCTCCTTCTTAGAGAACAAGAGGTGACTAATATGTTAACCTCGATTCCAGTCGAGCAACTCACAGACATCATTTACTTAAAAGATAACTCGTTAAACTATGATTTTATTTCATGTGTGTCCTTTTGTTTTGTTTTTCACTGTTTAAACCTTATTTATGTTCCTAGGCTTTTTTGCACCATGGTCATTTGTGCTTTTTAGAAATACAGCCATGTTCTCTCTGCATCCTTTAGAAGTATTTCAGAATTTGAAAACAATGCCAGTAAGGTAACAAAGTAATATATGTTATTCATACACACACAAATCTTATAACTGTTTAACTGCCCTTTACCTATCTCGTAACTTTCCATTTACTTATTTATCTTTCTTTTTTTAGAGAGTCCAGTGCCCTTAACCATCACACCACCTGAGGGCCCCTTGATTCATATTACTTTACCCACTACTCCTTTTTGTAGTTTGCACTGCACATTTGGAATTATACTTTCCCTTAACATTACAAATTTCTCAAAAATAAACTTAAAATAGAAAACCATGTTTAAAAAACCAAACAAAATACAATGAAAGTTGGTTGCAATTGAGGTATAGAAATGTGGTAAGGCAGGCGGGTTGTGTGGAAGCTACACCTGCCATAACCACAGGGTGGCACCCTGGCACCGTGCATGACATGCTAAAGCGCCATCTGGAAGCACAGCCACAATATATTGAACACTAGCGCAATTTATCGTAGGTTCTTTTTTCTAAGGAAATCATTGCAAGAAGCCAAGGTTGAAGTTTCCTGCTTGTTGTGTTTATGTCTGTTTTTTCCTGGCTCATATCTACTTTTACCCCTTCTCTTGGGAACAGCTATTTGCTCTTGTCAAAGTTTCCTTTATGTAAAAAGAAAGACTGATCCTACCTTACCGTCATTCTACTACACATCATCTCACTACTTCACTTCTTGAAAAATATCTTTCACTTATACAATCCACTTCGTAGCTACTCTTCAGCCAAAGAGAGTCTGGCTTCCAATGCATCTCTCCATTGAAACTACTTTTCAAGATTTCCATTGAGTTTGATGAATGTCAAAGTGAGTTGCTTTTAACTTTATTGTCCATCCTCTTCCTTTGGAAATTAGTTTTATTATTATTATTATTATGGTTTTTGTTATAACATTGTTGTTTTCTGATTTTTAAATATCTGGTTGTTTCTATTAATATTTCATCTATTTTACAAGTTCTTCCTCAGACCATCCTTATATGATTGCATCCTCTAGAATTTTGCAACCAAAAGATCTGTCAGTCAGTCTTACAAATGGGAGCCCAGAGAATATTTTACCCAGTCTTTAAGTTCGAGGAACACAATCTGGTCAATGCTGATTTCCTAAGATGGTAAGATATAGGGAGTGAATCCCTGGTCCCTGAATCTTTTTTTTTTTTTCCAAGAATTATTTCATTTACCTTTATTTACTTATTTATTTACTTATTTTAATTCAACCTGAGAGGGACAGAGAAAGAGAGAGAGAGAGGGAAAGTTAGAAAGCAAGTCGCCAGGTCTGGGACTTGAACCATAGTCGGCTATGTGGGAGTTCAGCACCCTTAACCACCACACCAACTGTCCCCCATTCCTGAATCTAGCCCAAGGTTGCAGTTTTGATGCTCAGAACACACAATGCTGATGGCATTAATCTTAACCCCCATTCTCAGGACCATACTTCTTTTTTTCAATTTTCTTTCTTTCTTTTTTTTTTTGGAGAGGTTTTTGCTATAGGGCGTATGCGCTCACCAGACAGACAGAGAGAGACATAGAGACAGAAAGCGAGAAATCACCCCCCAGGGGGGATGGTCATGCTGCAATCCCTTCTCCTCCATTCTCCTCTTGGGATCTTGGGCACGCACGCACACGCGCCTGGCGTGAGTTTTAAGCCACCGGGTCCGGGATGTGAACTGCGGTCGACTACGTGGGAGTCCAGCAACATAGCCATTACGCTAACTGCTGGTTCTTTCTTTTTTTTTTTTTTTAATTGCCAGAGGGCTCCCCAGAGAGAGACAGAGAAAGGAAGAGAGAGAAAGAGACAATACCCTCAATAGACAAGTTCATGACTTTGTTTTTCCATTCTTTTGGGATTTTGGAACATGCAGGCACAGATACCAGGGGTGTTTCTCAAGCTGCTGGACCCGGGATTCAAACTGTAGTTGGCCATATGGGATCTAGCTTTATAACCACTAGGCTACGTGGCTGGCACTGCTCTCCACTTGTCTCTTTTTGTGTCTCATCTCCATGAGTAGATGGCCATTTTCTTCTTCTTTATTATTTATTTATTTTAGAGGGCATGTGTACTAGCTGGAGAGAGAGAGAGAGATGAGAGAGAGAATGAGAGAAAAGAAAACTCCCCTCTCCCATGGGAAATAGTCACATCACAATCTGTTATCCTCCATGCCGCCATCCTTTTCAGGATTTTGAGCGTGCATGCACCTCCAACTGGCATGTCTCTCAAGTCATTGGGTTCTGGGCTCAAACGTTGTAGTCAGCTACATGGGATCCGGCCACCTTAATCATGGGCCATTGGCTGGTCCATTTTCTGCTCTTTGAGTGTCTGCTGTTGGATAGAGGGAGAAAAAGGCACCAGATCCTATCTATAGAGGTAGGGAGGAATTGTGGAGAGGAGAATAACTCAAAGTAATGTACTATGTTAGACTAGAATCTTCTAAGACTGACTTCATCTCACCCCACAGAGTAGTCTGGAGCATCAATTCTCTGCAGTTAGCCTCACCTGAAGCAGGGAGGCCAGCCTTTTGTACTCTCCTAACAGGGAGTCCCTGTTGAAGGCAATTATCTGGGAAGGGCAGCTGTGGGTGGTTAGCAGCCAATCCTAGAAGCAAGTGAGCGGTGGGACCCCACCACATTCGCTGCCTGTCATCTTCAGATGGAAGATCTGAAAGCAAGCCTTTTGCACTGCGAAGATTAACCCCTGATAATATACTAGGCCTGGACAAGTTCTGTGTTTGTCTTGGTACTGAGTTGCTTTAAAACACCCCCATCCAAATATGGAAAACCAAAGTAGGGTCCATCCTGTAGAGATACCCTGCAGGCACCAGCTTAACTAAGTGATTAAGTTAATGGCGCCGGTACTAAGACAGAGTGATGTCATGATCCCCCAGATATGATGCAAGCAGTTCACCTCTGTGGCTTTCTTCCCAAGTCTATAACTGCGATCTAACCATACAAAAGCATTAGACGAACACAGATTGAAGAGCACTCTATAAAATACCTGACTTGACTTCTAAAGGGTCTAGGTGACAAAAGACAAGGAAAGATGGAGGGGCGCTCACAGATAAGAGGAGACTAAGAAGGGATAGCTAAACGCAATGTGGGATCTTGCATAGAATTCTAGAACAGGAAATGAATGTTAGTGGAAAAACTGGGGAAATCTGAGTGAAATCTGTAGGATAGGTAGGAGTATTGTACTGGCTTAGCTATGGCAGAACATAGGTAGCACCACACTTGGGAGTCTGGAAGCCACATGGGAGGCCAGGGTTTTGGCTCAGACTCCTAGAACACATCAGGACAGTTAAATACTCCTCATTTGAAGACTGGAGCAGGAGGATCATTGCACAGTGAGACTGTCAAAAATGACTCTCTCTCTCTCTCTCACTCCCCTTCCCTCCCCCCCCATTTAATTGAATCACCAAAGACCCTAATCAATCCAAATACCCTCATAGCAAACACAGGTGACACACACATTTCCATGAACACAAGTCTAACTTTACGCATCCTATAAAGTAGCACCTAGCTGGGGCTACATATCCTACTGCAGTCATTGAATAGATATATTTTTTTCCCTGAAACTTTTTTTTTTTGGTAACTCAATTTACATTCATCCCCTAATCATCGTCACAACATACAAAATGTGATTTCCCATCCAGAATATACTGCATAGTGGCTTAATCATGTATGTTATCATCAATAAAT